AATATAGCATCCTATGCCAACTTTTATGATTTTCAAATACATCAATAAATAATTATTTTTACAATTTTTAAATTTTTTCCAAAGTTTTCCAACTTTTTTCCAACAGTCTTACATTTTTTTCATCATTTTTTCATCAATGGTTTATTTATACAAGGTTCTATGAATGCAGTAACTAATTTTCATTGCGTTTTATTCTTTTATAATTTTTGTATTCTTAAAAACGTTGATCACAGTTAGTGGGAGGAAATTTTAGATAGGTAGGGGGAGCGCAAGTATGTAGCAACGCTGGCAAATTTTTTTTTTAATATGGATATATCTATATATGCGCTTTTACGAATACTTAACCCTTTCTTTCTTATTTTATTAAGAAAACAGTTTGTGGATTAATTTCAAAATTTTATAGGTCTATACAATTGTAATCTATCATACTAAACATTAGGAGTTTTCAACAGATCATTTCTTTATATTTTTTTTTAATTATTCATCGCATTCTCGTAAAAAAGTATGACAAGTCTTCCACTGCATTTGAACTAGTTTGACAGAAAATTGAAAAACGTAGTCTCAGCTTATCACAGTTGGTCGTAAAACTGTTAACTATGTACTTAGCGTAAAGAAAAAAAAAAAGAAAAAAAAAAACAATGTGCGTCCCTGCGAAGCAGAGAGTGTTTCTGGGCCAAACGCGGAGGGGCCGCACGTACACGCGGCCCGGGTGATTGGGTAACGCAGGTGCTGTTAAAACGACAGCTCCAGATAAGAAGCCGAACAATACACGTCTCCCGCGGCTCCCCGAAATGACATTCCATTGGGTAACCATTATCTTTTTTAGTTGAGTTCTGGTTTAGTATTTAGTTTTTTTTTTTTTTTTTTTTTTTTCAACATTTATCTNAAATAAAAAAATTAAAAAATTAAAGAAATAAAGGAAATTTAAAAAAGTAAAAAAAATTAAAAGAATCAAACCAGGGGGTATAAATGGGTCATAGGACCCATGGTAAGAACGAAGTTCTTTAAACATGAGATGAGTATAAAGAAAAACGATTTCTCAAGTAACAAGGGGGTCACGAGACCCACTGGAAGAACGAAGCTCTCAAAGAATAAGTACTACATTCATGTAGTTCAGTAAAACAAAAACTTTGAAACAAATAAACAAAAAAACAAAAAAATTAGTTCAGTACTCACGATGGTTGAACTTCGTGAGAACGTCGTGCATAAATACAGTACTCATGAAGTTTAACCATCGTGAGTACTGAAATAATTTTTTTGTTTTTTTGCTTATTTGTTTCAAAGTTTTTGTTTTACTGCACTACATGAATGTAGTACTTATTCTTTTAGAGCTTTGTTCTTCCTATGGGTCTCGTGACCCTCTTGTTACCTGAGAAATTGTATTTCTTTATACTCATCTGATGTTTGAAGAACTTCGTTCTTACCGTGGGTCCCAGGACACATTTATATTTTTATATAGTGAGATGTAACTTTACTTTTTTATCTATAGTTTTTACAACAGTGTATTACTGAACATTAATTTATTATGATATTTTTAGTGTCAGTTAAATAATGATTAAATTTAGTAAACGCTACAAATGGATTAGTTTGTTTACAAGTCTATGAGAAGTAATTTTTTAAGTAGAAAAGAATGATCTGATCTCTCTAAGAAGTTTTCTATGACAGACTCTTCGGTAAGCCCTTCCAAGCTGCCATGGAAGGGTTTGCAGAATGTCACTTTTCCGGCTTACTTTGGCATCCTGTTTTTGTGTTAATACTTCTAAATAACATGTAACTAAATATAAAAACTGCTGCTAATTTGTTAGTCTGAAGCTATTTTATCTTTATTTTTGTGGCCTCAATTTATTTCAGTTTTTTTTTATCCATGGATAAAAATATTTAATTTTTAACTAACTTATTACGTTATTTATCTACATCACTAAATTATTAAATATTTTTGAACGAAAAAATTTTAACATTTTTTTGTTAAAAATTGCACGATTTACAAAGGTTTTGAAATAGAGTATCCTAAAACAAAAATAATCGAATTTCAAAAGCCAGTAAAATCAACGAAAAACATGTAAAAATAAGATAATGTACGTGGTGTAACTACTAGGGGTAAGTGTACCTATCTCCATGGCACGTACTGAAAATTCCAACTTAAATGGACCATAAAAAATGGTATACTAAAATTTTTTGGAATACTTTTTTTTTTAATCTTACATAATCTCTTACGGAATATTAAAAAAAATTTTATGAAGCTAAAACTGCAGTTGAATATTTTTAAAACGAATAAAAACGGTATGCTGGTAATACCGTGGTTGCGTACCTATTACCGTGTACGTATTACCGCGGATAAGTATAGGGTTATGTTTACGTACGCTCACCGCGGAAATACGTACACAATCAGTTAATGAGCGCGTTGTACCGAATACCGTGGAAAATAATTATTTACTCAAAATATACACAAATATTTCTGTTTGAATTGCATCTACATTAACGTCATTTTAGATTATTAAAATTAAAAAATTATTTTATATGAAACATTTCTTATTTTGAGCAAGTGATCATCAGTTTTTCAAAATCCACGGTAATAGGGCAGAGCACGGAGATAAGTACATTTACCCCTTTATATTTGTACCCAACGTATTGGGATGGTAACAATGTCCGTATAATCTTTATAACGAGTTATACTTTTTTTTTCTTTTAAATTGCATACTCCTTTGACAGATTATTTTTTAACTTTACTAATTTTTTATTTTCATTCTTCAACCAGGACTTTTTTCTCCCAATATAGCATCCTATGCCAACTTTATTTTATAATTACTTTTAGTGCTTTATGCTGTGTTAGTATTTACATGACTCGCTTCAGTGGGCTATAGAGAATGTGTAGCATGCATAACTGTTTCTAATATATTCAAGGTTGGTTTTTATCCGATAGCGATCCACGATATTTTATTTTTCTGAATTTTTCCGATATTTTTTAGTACCAGAGTGATTTTTTTAAGGTTCTTTTTTTAAAGATTTAAAAATATTAGCGTGACATGTGTAGTATGCAATTCTTTAATTTCTCAGACAAACAAAAAAATATGCGTCAATTCAACTCTTTTTTTCTTTGAGGTAGATGTTCTTGCTAAGAAACTCTACTACTCCCTGATACACTCACACTCGTGGGGCTTTGCCCCTGCGTGTTCCAGAAACTAACCCCAATAAATAATTATTTATAATACTGATATATATAAGACCACGAAGAAGCAAACAAAAATAACCTCAAACTACGGACATACAACAAACTCGGTATTAGCTGATATGTTTTAGTTATACTGCTGTACTGTGATGGTAAGGCAATAAAATAATATGCAAAATGTTGAAAAAATAAAATAATTTACGAATTGTTAACATATTAATTTGTTAAAGAGAAATTTTTGTTATTAACAAACATTTATCCATCAAGATAATATGCTGTACACATGATTTCTGAAATTTAGAACTGAAGTACATTACTCTTGCGTAAATTTCTGTCTATGTATGTGTGTGCGTGTGTATAAAATATGGCATATGTTAATCATACTTCAGAACTCTTGTAACTCTTTTCGATTGACATGGACTCATTTATTTTTCCATCACTGCTAAATAAAATTTTTTGAAAACAGTAGTTTTCGTCATACAAGTGCCATCATCATCTAAGCTATTTTATGAACCAAGGAACGTGCGAAGCAGTAGGGTAGCCTCTAATGATGGAGGAGCAAAGCTCCCCACTACAAATAATTTCATAGCTATTTGTCAAACCAAAAATATCAACGCGATGGAATTCGAACATTTTACTCTTTTATAAAAATTTTCTCTATCTAACCGCAGTCATCAAAATAACTCCTGTTTGCAGTTACGTTACACAAAATTTAAAAAGGTGCTAATAATAATAACGATAATAATAATGATTTTAATAATGATAATAATAATAATAATAATAATAATAATAATAATAATAATAATAAAAATAATAATGATAACAATACCTTACCTTAATGATTGCATGTAATACTGTGTATCCAAAAATTGAGAGGGTGAATATCTTCGGACTAACTTACTTTAAAGTTTCTCGACATCTATCTTAAATATACACATTATAAAGTTTCTGTCCATTGCTTACCCAACATTCAAAACTTTACTCACTCAGTGATTGTTATCATTACAATTATTATGTAATCGTGAGCCATAAATCAATCAACTTGAGTTATCAAAATGTTGTGTATTCTTGCAACTGCATAAGTATATTTTTGATGAATAGCCGTTTATAAGTATTATTTTGGTGACTGGAAAATTTATTCTCATTTGATTTGATGATGATAACAGTGTCATCATATTTCATTAAAGATGTAGAAAAAATATTTATTTGGATTAATGTAGGATGTGTCATTTCAGGTGTTTAGTTCTTATTATTAAAATTAAATTTCAAGACACCATAAAAGTCAATGATTTAAAAAAAAAAAAGTTTTATTGCTGAGCAAGAAGTTTTATTTAGTGAATATAAAGATTTCACGAGCTAGGTGAAAGTATTCATTTTTCACCAACTAAAACATTCCTGAGTCAAAAATTTTTTTTTGAAGAAAGTTGTACTCAATGGAAGTAGAAATTTTATGAATATCAAATTTTTACAACAATGGCTACAGACACCAAACGTTTTTCAATCACAACTTTTTGTGTAACATATTTCTTTTAAGGCAATACAATTGATCAAAATATTTGAGTATAGATTTAATATAATTATTTCAATCGATTCTTTTATATATTGATTAGTTTTAAGGAATTTACTCAAGCACAAAATGTAGTTAAAGTTATTTTTCATACGATGTTTTATGTAAAATAACTATTATTTTTCTAGTTAAGTATACTCGGAGGGTTTTGTCTTCTCCCTAACAAAAGAATTCTTTATGACATTAAGTGTATCCAACTATGACACATTGTGTTCAACCCTATGAGCTGAATGTAATTTGACATTGTTCATGAATACATAAAAAGGCTTTTGACTTAAATCATAGAAAGAATGCAATGACACATTGTATGGCCTAATTTTTTATCGTTTATGTCATTATTATTCTTAATGAATTACTTTAACATTCAAGTTGTTTATCTCAAAAAACTTATATAAATATACTTGGATATCGGTTTTACGAAAACTTATTTTATTACATCTCTTTAAAAATTTGACGTACATTATGAGATTAAATAAATATAACTTTCAATAATTTTTTAATTATTTGTACTTTTTAGATAACTTTCATTATTGTGTCGTGTAGAAAAAAAATTTGTTTTAAATAACGTACAAACAATATTTTATCTGTTTATTTATAGCATTGTTGATCATATGTATCATTAAACTTCAAATAATGTTATTATCAACGGTGTGGTAGCGGTTCATGTCAATTGAGCGAAACAAGATGCATAGCTCTGCTTCCTTACGTTCGTTCGAATTTAAATCAACTAAACTACAAATTCTATGTAAGATTTTACTAGATAGGCTTTGTAAAATAGTTTTATATTTATAAGTTTCACATATTTTATATGTTGATTTTAAGATTCTGCAGTTTTCCTCATCACCATAAGTTGACATAATTCATTGATCCATATGTACTGGAAACGACACGTTTAATATAAATTTGACTGCAAATTGAGATGTCAGCAGATGCTTGCTCAATCGATGCAATATGTATCGCAGAGCGATAGACATGATTTTTTTTTTTTATACAGTTCCTCCCTTGATTCCATGAACTAGGCGTTCAACTAATAACCGGTCAATCCGAATTCAAACCGCTAACAATCAAACGTTTTATTAAATGACCTAATCACTTTTTAATCAGTAGCAGTTGACACTTGCAAATAAAAGCAATAAAAATTTAGTTTTAAATTGAGAAAAAAAAACAGAAAAAATATTAGTAATAAGAATGTGATGTCAAAATGGTCTGACCATCCTAAAACACAAAAAATAAAGTTCACCTAAGGGAAATAATTTACATAAAAGCAGACAAGAAAAAGAGACTTACATAAAACTAAAAAAAATCTGTAAACCATGAATATGGTCACAAAAAAAATTTAAAATTAAATTTCTTACCA